AGAGAGAGAGTGTGTGTGTGTGTGTGTGTGTGTGTGTGTGTGTGTGTGTGTGTGTGTGTGTGTGTGTGTGTGTGTGTGTGTGTGTGTGTGTGTGTAGGTGAACCAAGATGTTTCAGCAGAGGCTACAGCAGAGGTCGAATATGAAACTGAGGTAGAACCCAGTGACCCAATGAGTCACATTAACAGTTGTTGAAATTGTGTGGAATAACTATTCACCACTGGCAGTCATTTATCATTATATTTTTCCAGACCAGGACTTTCTTTTCTATTTATTGTGTACCATGTATTGTGATTTCTTATTATGATAATGTGAAGCATACAAGGTTACAAAATGATGATGTGTCATGTTGATAATGATGGCAGTGAGGGTATTCTTTTGTCTCCGTAGTGCACTGCTGAAGGACAGGATGAGCAACAAGAGGTTTGTCAGGTGTTCATATAGTTTCCATAAAGAGTATTAAGATGGCTAGACTGTACATTAGTGACATTTTAAAGAAAAAAATGTGATTTAGAGAAAGAGGATCCAGGGTTTGTATGGAACAGGGAAATTATAAATGTATGGTGCATTATGAGTATTTGAAGTGGATGTTTTGTTGAAGAAAGAACATTATAAAACAATTGAATAAATTCTCGATGAATGTATGAATTTGTATTGATGTGCCTCATGGAAGAAATACAACTTCACATTTATTGTACAGTTGTATTATATGTAGAAATGAGCAATGTTGTTGTTGTCCTGCAGGGGGAGCTAACGGTGTGTGAGAGCCCGGTGGTGAAACTGATCAACTATGATGGAAACATTACACAAAGAAAGCTGGGATTGAGCAGTGTCCAGCTGAATGGGGTCAGTGAATTTAATCACACAGTATTCAATGTTAGTGGAATGCCTTTTTCATTACAGAAGTGAACAACCTACGTTTGTGTCTCTCTGACATCCGTCTGTCTGTCTCTGTCTGTCAGACTGAGTTGGTTGTGTCTCCAACAACAGATGAATCCAAGAAAGCTTTTAGTGATCTGAGCACAGTGGGATTCCTGCAGCAGGAAATACAGTAAGTTAACTTTCTTATAGTTGAATCGAACACATGTATTTGAGGGGAAATGTGTTTATTTCTATTTTTATGATATCCCACATAGTCAATGTTTTCTTTATGGCTGGCCCAAAAAAGGGACAATGACTATATCAATAAATATACAATTTGTCCAAGTTTTGTTTTAAACACTCGCTGACTTTTGAGTCATACAGAATTTAATGTTTCTTTATTGTTTAAAAGGAAAAACGATGACATTAGAATGAGCAGCATTTCCCAACATGGTTTAACAAACATGCTTTTGTATTGCCTCTCATAATGAGTCAAAAGAGATTTTGCAGACTTGGAGTTAATTAGACAAAAGCCAATCGTAAGGACAACAAGGGAATAAATATATCCGATTTGCTGTTTAGTTCTGAAATATTTAAGCATTGTGGAAACCAGTTTATTCACCTAGGTTTCAGTGGTTGTTCAGAAATAGAAAGGACCTCTATTGACTTGTGAATGTCTGCAAGACAACCAGGTTATGTTTCTCACCATGTGTTTGTAAGGGATTCAGAGCTGAGGGTCCAGAGTGCAGAGCAGCGAGCCCTGAAGGCTGAGGAAGCCCTGCAGGCAGCGCTGGAGAAGACTAAGCACCTGGAGAGAAAACTGCAGGGCCGGCCCAGTCTGGAGCCAACAAGTACAGAAGGTACCGACTAAACAAAAACATTTAACTTGTAATTGGACATTCTGTAAATCAAAATGAAGGATTTTCTGTATGAGTCTCTGAGATTTTGTAATACAGTTTTTAATCTCAAAAGGTGGTAACGGTCTTTGAATGTGTTGCAGAGAAAAAGAAAACACCACCACCTACTCCAATACCAGTAAAAACCCCATCTCCTCCAAAGAAAACTGCAGTTGAAGCCAAACCATCAAGCAGCTCCAAAAAGACCAAGAAACGGTGATTTGAATAAGATCAGGACATGTCACAACGTTATATGTATGTCCAGTAAATGTCTAGTGAACTATTTAAAAAATCACTTAAAGAGTTTTATGTTTCTTTGTTTATTACAAGAGTTAACACTCCATCAAAATCACATCCATGTAAACCAGTAAAGGAAATCCACAGAGGGTATTATGACTTTTGGTGCATATTAACAGCACATTTACTGTCTCACAAGTTTACAAATTATTGTAGCACATACAAGAAAAGACAAAAAGCATCACTCATCAGCACCAGCATCAAAGCTATATTTCAAGTATCAGGAGATTGTCCTATATTCAGACTGCTTGCTGTTGTATGATAATTAATATCGTCATATTACCATTTATCTAATGGTTTGCTGTGGTTGTGTTAAACCTTGTGTTATGTCTTGGACACCAACTAAGGGCAAAATAGGTTTTGTTTTCTTAAAAATAATAAAGTGTCTGTAGACATACATACAATCTAAAAAAGTAATACTTTTCTGTAGCTTTTATTATAAATATGTGGAAATTGTGAAATTAATAAACAAATCCAGTTCACACTATGCTATCACACCCTTCAGCACTCACGCTCACCGGTGATTATAAACTAATATTTTAAAATTGTACTTAAACAAACAATCATTTGTTGTAAAGGTTACCTTCTTTAAAATAATGAAGAATACCTCTGGAAACTCATCCATGAGGTAAGAATTATTGGCTCGCTTTTTTTAATTTTTCAAAAATAGCTTTTATGGCAAAACAATCTTTCACATCATTGGCGAGTCTGTATCTGTTGCCCCACCCTCTCCTTCTACAGCTGGGGGAGGAGGTGGGGGTAGGGATGAGAGGTCAGGGGTCACGCCAAGGAGATCGGGGGGGATTGGAAGGACCAGGGCAGGTTGGAGCAGACGGAGGGAAGCCCTGAACCCCTCCCAGGCATCTCTCTCCCCTTCTGCTGCTTTCACCTGGTGGAGGGAAGTATACTGCTGTTGGAAACATGCTAGCTCTGCGAATCCTGCTAAGAATGCACAAATGGTCTCTCTGGCCGAGGTAAACATCAGTTGGAAGGCTAAACCAAGGCCAAGCTCTGGGCTGAAAAAATGATGATTTAAGATGAAAACTGAAACCATGTTGCATTGAATGTGTTGCAAGGTATTGGACAGAGATAATAAGTCTTTTATACTACCATTAGGTAACTTTGATAATTTGTTTTTTGTGGGAACCATAAAATCCATTAACATTAAAAAAATGTTGTAATATAAAACAATAAACATACAACTTTAAAAAGCTGGTATACAGTGGTTACTCACTCTGACCTGGTGTTGTCTCTTGGCCTCGGCCTCGGCAGCCAGACTCTGCTGTAACTCCACAGGAAAACTGAGCTCGTCTCTGACAGAAAATCAAACACAAGCCTGGTCAGCAGGAAGATCACAGTACACCACAAATCACTACATTCATCCTTGCTGTTTACCAGGAAAAATCAAAGCTTTCAGAGGAACAAGACTTTGCACACAATACTTTATGCTATTCGATAACCTTTCTGTTTTAATAATAATATATTTTATTTATCAAGCACTTTATCAAGTGTTCAAAGACACCTATCTTTTGGACTGACAGGTCATCATCCTATTTTCATATATTCAAGTGTTCAACATAAATGGTCACCCAGTGTAGGAGGCGCAGCAAAACCTCACTCTACCCCCACAGTCAAATGTAGACCAACTGTCATTGCTTCCACATGAAGTCATGTGCTTTGCGATTTTTTCATTTCTTCCAGTGGAATTCCCCAGCTGAGACATATGCAGCCAAGGAAGGTTAATTAGTAATACATGATATTTTGTATCTTCAGTCTTACATGTCTGCTCTCTCCACCCTGATGCCCCAGCGGCAAGCAACAGAGTCAACCGCTGCCTGTATCTGCTGTCCGATCCTCCTCCTGTGCAGCAGGATGTGGCTGAACGTGTGTTGGGCGAGGATGTCTCTGACCATGGCCTGGACCAGAGTCTGCAGCACTGTGGTCAGACTGGACAGGGCCGTGCTGCACAGAGCCACGTTCTCTATCTGGTAATAACACACTGTGCTCAGCTCGGGCCTCACCAAGTCCTTCGTCACCACCTGGGTAAAGACATACGAGAATTAAGTAGCCTAATCCAATTAAAGCCTTGTCATTGTCTGTTTAATTAGTTTAGCAGGGGGCCGCTTCCTTTACTCATCATCCTAAAAGGTTAAGAAACACTGTGAGAAAGATAGAACTTCCGGGAAGACGCATTAGAGAAAGTTACTGGCTGATAAAATGTCCAGCCATATCAAATACATTAAATCTCTTTGTGGACTTTGGAAAAATGTACTGTATGCTCAGGGAAAGCAACATTAATATACAAAACACATAATTAATTACCATATTTAATTCATTTTCCTTTATTTAAAAATGTGAATATGTCAGTTTTTCAGTGTTGAACCCTGGAACACTCAAAAATTATATAACAATAATATGAATAATATGTAATGCAATTATTAATAAAATGGGGTTTGTGTGTGTCTACAGAAGGTCCAGTTGTGATAGACACGGTTCACCACTGCAGTTTTGGTTTGTTTGTGTTTATTTACCGTGTGAGGAGGAACCTTGAGCATTTGTAGTCGGATATCAACTTTGTGACACACATCAAGGAGTGGGAGGTAGAAAAGAAGGCCTGAAAATAGAAGTAAAATGGGTTTAATCTCAGGACAGATTTATATTTTAAATATATATATATTTAATAATAATTCATTTTATTATGACTTTGAAAATAAAAAAGAACTGACTGTATGGGGTCAAAGCTTAACATTATTTGACTTTATGATCACTAGTCATCCAAAACGCACAGTAATTAAATCCACAGACATATCAGGCAACTGTTTTGCATTAAACACTCAGTAGTTGGTGAGAACCTGGTCCTCTGGGTCTTCCTCGCAGGAGGTGACCCAGTCTGAAGATCACAGCTCTCTCATGCTCCCTCACTACCTGTCAATCAAAATGACAGACATGAGTCAGTCCATGTGAAGGGGAGACAGTCATGGCTGCAGTGTTCTGCTCAAATACCACAGCTGTTAGTGGTCCAAGTGTCAATAAGGCCAGCTTTTATGCAAGGCTTTTGTACAATAACATACAGTCAGAATGTGACAGTACATAGATACATTGTTTTTGCGTGAGTAGTAAACACATTGGATTAGAAATAAGAAATATATATGACGTGAAGGTGCTGACTTCCGCAATTCCCGATATTAACTCATTTGTCCAAATATTTTACTTCCTGTCAAAGTGAAAAAGGTTAAAACAACATTAATCCTCAGACTAAACTTTAACGATAACATTATCACACTTTAATTTCTCCATCACAAACTGCATCTGCCCAGTTGTTAATCCTTGAATCTTTTTTATGTAGATTATTATGAGGTGTTAGTTTTTTTTGGAGGTCTGTGGTGTGGTGTAGTTCCTACTTTGACACAGAACCAAATGGAAATGGGGAGGACGAGCAGAACCAGAGCAAAGACGAAGACCATCAGCATCCACTCAAACACTCCCAGGTTTTTGCGCTTCAGACCTGCAAAGATCCACACTACTTATTATGGAGCAATTCCAACCAGATACTCAGATTAAACATATTTAAGAGTAATTTTCCAATATTTTGAGTCTGATTTGTCAAATAAATGCTGGAATAGAAGTGGAATTAACTAATTGAATTTATTTATATCATTAGTATCTTAAATATCTCCAGAACAACGAGCTGGGAAAAACTTTTCTTCATGCTTTGACTTACCATCCTCCTGCTCTGCTGCCTCCAGGGGCCCCAGGTTGTCCTCCTTGACCTCTTCCTCTCTCACGCTGTCTATGTCCACCACAGTGGAGCTCACTTTCACTTCTGTCTCCTGCTCCACCTTCACCTCATTGGTCTCTGTCTGTTTCTCCTTTTTCTGTCTCTCTTTTCTCACCGAAGACGCCTCCGGGACCCGTCCTGCCTTCGATGGCCTTTGTCTGTGACTTCTGGGAGGCACAGAGGCTCTGCTCTCCCTCTCCTTCCTGGGTGTCATTCTAGATCTCGGTGGGAGACCGGGGTGGACATGATCAGAAGACTTATCCATACTGGCTGTGCAGTTAAAAGCATGTGAGTGATGTCTGTTGGGGTGCTTCAGCTCTATGGGTTAGTGGACAGTTTCCTTTTGTAGAGAAAGCAGAAAGCAAGGAGAAATGTTTTGATTTGTTCTGCTGTGAGTTCTTCCTCAGACTTAAGGTCTGTGAGATGAGTCAGTGCGGCTGCCCTCCACTGTCAGAATACATGTGAGATAAATTAGGCTTGACTGTTTGAATGTGGGAGTAGCACAGCAGTGGGAGTGCCACTTACCACCCTTTCTATTGTGGTGATAAGTTGTACCATAGGTTGTACCCTGTACCTAAGCCAATACAATTTAAATCGAAAGAAAACAAAACACTTCTGTATGTAGCACTTAGAAAAGTTTGGCTTATTTGAATCCAATGCAGAAGTACTAAGAATGGCTAGGCCTATTGAAAGCTGAAGTACTTGAAAGATTCTTGCTATTTTAAGTTTGTGTCATCATGATTGCACTTATTATAAGTTGTTTTGGATAAAGCGTGAGCTAAATGCAATGGAATGTAAACAGGATTTTTAAGTACACATCATCCATTGCACAACCAGAAATTATCTTGCACGCTTTCCCAGACAGAGAATGGCATTATCATGCATTAAGCAAATCAATATTCCAGATGAGTTTTTATAGTTATTATTTAAGGCAAAGCTGTTACAGCTTGGGAGCCCTTGATTCTGTCAGAGAAATATAAAAATCACCCTCTTGCATCCACTATAAATATGCATACTGATTGTAGAACTCCTATACTGTACTTCTAAATCTCCGTGTTGTGCATCTTCCCTTGTAAAGCCAGTGTCAGAGATGACTGTAGGACAAAGTGTGTTAGTGGAGCACAGGGAGTCACGATGGGTCTACATTGGAATGTGCACACTCAAGGTCTCCTTTTTCCAAAGAGCTGATAAAGTTGTTTTCTCTGTTTTTACAGGAAAAGACAACAAGTATCCTCCCTGATAGATTCTTAATCAAACAGAAAATTAGACATGTTGCCCATATGTTCTTCTACGATGAAAGTAGCAAATCGTATTGGTGCAAACCTGGTGCAAACCCAGGCAATGGGGCCAGTACCTTGCGCCTCTGATCATATAATTTAAATAGGCCTATACATAAACTTCAACGTATTCATCTGTATATCCTTGAGTCAAAACCAATTCTGTTATTAAAGAGAAATAAAAAAAACGCCCCTGTACATAACGATTGATGTCTAAATTAGCATAATTACTAGCTAGCCGCAAGCTGCTAACTGCTGCGGCCGCCTCGTTAATATCAAAAATCAAATCCATCATATAACTATCCATGAACATGCTGTCATGAACGCGTGGTGCTGTTACGTGTACACATTGACGTGCTTGGGGGCGTGGTTAAAGTTGCGCATGCTCTATGAGCGCATGTACGGGTACTTCTCAGGCATGACGGGTAATCTGACGTTTCGCTCTCTCAAAAATTGTACGCTGTATGCTTTATCCCGTTCAAATTCTTATTACATCCATGGTTAGCAACAGGTGTGGTGGTCAGGAACCAAAGCTGAAGTTGTCGTGGGAAGGAACCAAAGCTGAAGTTGTCGTGGGAGGATGCTTCATAGGTATTGAAAACTCGAGGTAAAGTTGCAACTGTGCATAGCACGAACATTTTGGGACAATTTGAACAAGACAGGGCTGTTTTGGCACATGTCTTAAGACTTTGTTAATTAATTCACATTAACTTAACTCCATGCTGGACCTCCAGAGGGTTTCTGTTCTGCCGGTTGGGGGCTAACGTTCATGCTAATTTAACGTCTGAAGCGGAATCCATTGTGATATTTCTGTGTAATGCAAATGTAGCTTAACTAGCTAAATGTTACCCGTGGTAATGCTGCATGTGTATTAACGTTACCTTTATACGTTTTTTTAGCAATATAATGACAGTTTGAATGTGCATGGCACTACCCGATCCGTCCCCCTGCCCGATATGTACTGCGCATTAGTGATGTGTCGGTCGCTCTTTGAGCCGGCTCTTTTAAGTGAACGACGGGAGCCGGTTCGCGCCCGCGAACGAGCCGGTTCTTCTTTTTTTTTGCGGAGGGATCTAGATCGGCATGAAGGCACATTATGCAATGTGCACATTATCCCGCTTATTACATGGCCACATTCTCAACAAAGTAACGACATGACTCCCAATATTAATTGAAATGCTTTTATGGATTTAGAAAATTATTTTATTTATTTAAAAAATAGTTGTATTTATTTAAATTGGCATGCATCCGCTAAAGAAAAATAGTCCGTTGTTACTGTTTGAACTAACGTAGCAACGGCTAGAACTGCTTCGATCATAGTGTTTTTGAGGAGCTTTTTGATTACAGATTTGAAAACATCGTTGCTTGCTTTAAAAATAGCACAATTCATTATGTCAAACCTTGGAAAGTATCTAGATATCCCTGCCCTAATGCCAAAGTAAATATGAACTGAATATGTGTCGCCGTTTGATGTCTATGTCTGGACCGCTGCGTAAAAAGGAGGGTTTCTGCCCCGTTGCTTCTCTTCTTACTTCTATAAGAATAAAACACGGAGGAGGGAGATCTCTTTTTCTCCCCCTCTTCTGAGAGCCCAGCAGCTGATCTCAGAGCACGCTCCCCTCTCCTGCAGGGGGGCGTGGNGTCAATACAGTAGCCCCTTTTTTTAAATAGTTTTTATAGGTGTTGCTATTTGTTTTGTGTAGCGTGGTTCTACAAGCAAATCAGTGCATTCATTGGGTGGTATCAGAGAGTTACAAGGGTCTGTAAATGCAATGAAAAAATTTGGCCACAGCAAGTCATTTATATTAAACATGTAATATTTACTTTTGAATACTTCAGTACAAAGGATGTATTGATTAATTTAAGTGATATATGTGTACACATAGGCCTATACACATCAAAACAGGGCTACATTTGATTTAATTAAAAGGTATAATATGTGGTAAACTGAAGAGCCGTTTGGGAGCCGAAAGAGCTGGCTCTTCTTGGTTAGCCGAGCCAAATGATCCGGCTCACCAAGAAGAGCCGGAATTC